AGGGGCTGATGGCTGTTTGCAGGCTGGCCAGGACCCCCAGCCACCCAAGCTCCCAGTGAAGGCTGGCTGGAAGCAGGTATCTGGGATTTACTTATCTTCTACAATTGAAACTTTGTTGCCTTGAGCAAAGGCCACAGCGAGCCAGGGCAGGTGGGAAGCTTGGCTTCCTCCATTGCCGGGGCAACCAAGCCTCCTGCTTGCTCCAGCTCTGTGGCTGCCGGCCGCCATCTTGGTTGGGTTAATTTGCATATAGTCGCTCTGATTGGCTGGTGGGGGTGGCTTGGGGCGTAGCGGAGTTGTGGTCAATTTGCATGTTTCTCTTTTATTAGATTAGATAAATTAGCAACCCCTTGACACTCAGCCTGGGCTGGCTGAGAAGAAATGATTTTAGCAGTGCTGCATCTCACCCTTCCTGTCTAAGTTGGTGATCTTCCCACCTTCTGACTTCCTTCCCTTCCTGGAAAATAACAGTAAATGGTACAAAGGCTCAAAACTGGATTCACACTCCTACTGGTGTTTCAAAACCATGTTCATTCCTCTACAAGTTACAATCTAATATATTGCCCCTAAATTATACAGCTATTCCAACTGATGTTGAATATGGTTTATGTATATAAAATATATACTCTTTTTATCATTCACAAGGATATTTTTAAAAGTAACACCTTTGAACTGATATTAATCTGTATTTTGTGATATTACTGGTATGTGATTCTTGATAAGAGGAATTTTTTTTAAACTGGGATTGCTTTCTGTTTGACCAGTGGGATAAGATGAATGGATGATTTCATTACTTTTCATATTAATAAAATTATTTCATTATATTTCATACTATTCTTAATAATGCTCTATTATTTTCAGATCCTATAGTCCTTGGTTTTGCTTCTTTCTTTCAGGACTTGGTTATCTGAAAGTCAGGCAATGAGATAAAAATCTATATTATTTAAATCTATCATGCAGTTTATACCCATGGTACCAATAAAATAATTCAAAAGTACCTTTTGATAAATTGCACAGATGGACACACAATCTGTCACTCCTTTTAGTTTTCATTCCATGTGCAATGTGACTCTGAAATTCTTACTTTTAAGCAGTGGAGTCTATTGACCCTGAGTTGGTCTTCTGACTTGCTTTGGCCAATGGAATGAAGCAATAAGGTTTCAATATTCAAATGCCAAATCTAGATTTACAGAGGCCTTACACAATCCCACCTTTTCTCCTGGACCTCTGTCTTCCCAACATACATGAACCTGGGCTAGTCCACTGAAGAATGAGATTTCATGTGGTTCATAATCAAACCAGTCTCCTATTTACCCAATGAAATGTCTGCCACTTGAGTGAGAACAGAAAAACCACCTCCTTGGGCCCAGTCCTTGTTGCTGACACACAGAATCATTAACTAAATAAACGGTGTTATTTGAAGCCACTAAATATTTTATTGCTTTGTTATGTGGTCAATTGTTTCTTGTTTTAGGCCACTATGTTTTGTAATAGATTGGTATGCAGTATAATCCACAAAATTAATTTCAAATGTTTTAGCCTGGATGTTTAGGTCTTTTGCAATTCCAACTCTCAATTCTGCTACTTCACCCCTTATTATCTATTCTTAGTTCATATACTGCACTTTTTTTCTTAATCAAGTAATATTTTCTGACTCCGTATTTCTATTTTTTGTATATTTTGTGCCCTCTGACTGTAATGCTCACACCTACCTCTTCTCCTTGTGAACACTTTTATTTCTTCAGACCTTGTCATAATATTACTGATCCCATAAAGATTTTCCCAACTGCCCCAAAAGAGTAAAGTCATCCACTCTCTGTTTTCATGTGTTTCACATCTTTCTAATCTATGACATTTAACACATGACACAGTGTTGTTTTTATTTCTTGCACCAAGCATAGTGGTAGACACAGCTACAGTTGATTCAATCATTGCTCACCAAAATGTATTCTCTGCCCTCCACTGACCCACTGTAGCCTATACCTGTGTGCCAATTCTGACCTAGGTGTCAAAATGCATCATGCTTCTGACCCTTTGGTGTACTTCCAACCACATTTATTTGGTTTATTCAGAAAAGCAAGTGGCCCTCTGGTCTCAAAACAAGGAAAGCAAAGAAGAAGAGAGAGCTACTTGAGCTTACCTGCTAACATGTGAACAATCAATTAATATTATTTTTGCTTCATAGTAGTATAATAATAGCTAACTGAGATAATAGCTAAGTGATATTTGAAGGGAAAAGTTAAGGTTTTATCTAGACTATTAATATGTTCTAATAAAAAGGCACTGAATCAAATAGAAAATTTTGGTTGAAAATAAGCCACAATTTCCTTAAAAGACTATTAAATAGTGGATATGCCATCAAAGGACGTGGAAAAGAAATGCATTTCAGTTCTTTGAATTTAAACATATTTTCATCAGTCTTTGTCAGAGATTTTGTCTTTGAGCACATCTAGCTTGATTGAAAGTTTTTTGTTAATAAACTAATTATTTTTTGTGTGGTTTCAATGGATACTAAGTATTCTCAAAAGGTTAAACTTCTATTCCTAGATGCACACAGCTCAGGATTTTAAGAGGGAATAAAATACGTTTTATATGTTTGGTATTGGTCGGGGTACTGGAAATATTTAGGGGACCACTATGTAAAGTATATGATTGTCTAACCACTAAGCAGTACTTGTGAAAATAATACAAAAAATTGGAAAAAAATTTAAAAGTGCAATAAGTTCTTGCAAGAAAAAGGAGTGGCATCGTTTCTTCCACCACCCAATTTCTAAAGTAACATATATTCAAGTAAAAATATTTTAGAAATTCAGAAATGTATAAACTATAAGGTAAAATACTATGATTTTTTTTCTTAGAGCAAAGTACCATTAACACATTGCATATAAACATTCAGATTTGTTGTTTTTGTGTATATAACAATCTTTCTCTTACTTAAGTTATATATATATTCTATATGCCCTTTGTTATTTGTCCTGAGTATTATTATTGTTATCAAAAAAAGGTAGATTGTGGAATGAATGCATTAGGTTTCTAGTAGAAAAATTACATATTATACATAGTTTCCAATTTTGAATAAGGTCTGTGAGGAAAGATGTTTTGCATTATTTTCTGCTGAAACTATGTGCAATGCACAGAATTGTGTGATGCTGAGTTATGACTTATGAATTGAAATATTTAAGTGTAAACAGCTAGCTTATTTGAGAAATACAAGTGAGATTTTCCGTTAGCTCTTTCATTTTATGAGTTGTGGTTTAACAATCTTACCGCACTGTACACATCTGAACTTACAAAACATGTGAAGTTGGCACTTTACATGAAAATGATGCCATCCTACAGCATTTTTGTTAAACCTTTCTTGATGAAAATATTTATCTTGGAGAAACAAGATGGGTGATTTTTTAATTAATTTCAGTAAGAAGAAAATTTTAAATATATTTTAATGTGTTCACAAATTAGATCGTTCCAAATAAAATGTACATCTTTCACGTTTGCTTATGTAACAGTAGAAATTCAGAACTTCAAAATGTGTTTTCTGAGCCATCCAAGGAAAATGAGAACCTTTATTTTCTTTTCCTTTGGTAAATTATCTGTTCTGTGCCAAGTTTCTAGCTTGACCATGGCTCGTCCTCTGCTATGCAAGACTAAGTATGACTTACTTTCTACTTCTAAATTTACTCAGTCAAAGTTTATTATGATCTATTTGAACCATGCGGGAAAGAGCATCTACGCCCATTTAGGCAATTCATTCAATTCATCAAAAGAGACAAACAAAGAGAGGTAAATACAGAGAAAAATATACAGAAAAAAACATACAGGAAAGTCATACATAGTAATTGAGTCCTTCATGGTCCAATGGGAAGCTGTATAAATATTAAGTACTGGTATATAAGTATGTTAGTAGATTTAAAGCAAAAGTTAACATTTTTCATATAGAATGAAAGGAAATAGGCTAGAAGATGGTCCGTGGAAGGTAAGAATAAAATAATTTTACTGAGAGAATTATGGAGTATTATTTAGTCATTGATTTAAATCTGTCAGTAAATTCTCAGGAAGAAGGAACTAAGAAAATCCCAGGAAAAATATTTATAGCTTCAGATAGCTATATACTGATGGATAAAAATGCCTGGGTCATTAGCGTAGTGAAGAGGATCTTGAAATATGAACACAATAAAATACTTTAAATGTGTTATATGGTCATTATGTGCCAGAGTATAAATGTTATTGGCCCATCTATCTCCAAAGTCTACTAGATAGGTATAATACTCAGTGGCAGGTAGAGGTTAAGTTTTTTGCACGAAAACATGCAATTGGCAAGAAGCATAGTTGAAATACAAATCCAAACCAGCTTGCTCTTTTGACTTTTAAAACTTTACCATACTATCTATTTACCCGTTATAGAAGGCAGCTAGGCTCACATATGAGTAGTGGTCCTTATCCACAAAATATGCAAGCTTTAGAGCTTCAGTTTCATTCATTGGGTCCACATATCTACTCTATTTACATCATGTTTTGAAAGAAAAAATGTCAGACATATAAGGTGTTTGTTGGAAAAAGGAGCAAACAATCATACCGGAATTTGTAGGCAGCCTATAATTTAGGGATTGAATTCTAGGTTTGATGTTTATTGAGGCAGATGATTTTAAAAAACTTGGAAAATGCCCATCCTTGCCATTGAAGCCACAAAGAGAGCTTATAATTATGAATGCTTTTGATTTCAGAAGCTGACAAAGGAATTTAAGAATGAAATATGAAAATAAGAGCTTGTTAGAGGTTTAAAAGAAACAAATGTAATTAAAATGAATTAGTATTTCACCTTAAAATATGCACAGGGAGGCAAGATATGAGTATAACAAAACAATTCATACTTAAACATCACAAAATTGATATTTGGCAGGTTTTTAAAAATATTTTTTGAATCATCCTTAGCTAATAGGTAATAGCAATGGAGGAGATATCATTTTTCAAGACCCCCACTCATACCTCCCTCATCTGCCTTATATTTTTTCCCTTTCTTGTATTTAACTTTTAAAATGCATTTTGATATTATTGTGGTATTTTTTGTCTCTTTCATCATATATTGAGTTCTTCAATAGTAGAAAATTTGTTTTGTCTATTATTGTGCCTTTAATCATGGCGCCTGGCACTTAACACATTTTTAAAGAGGTATTTTATGGTAACTGTGAATGATTGGTGGTATGCTATCTGGTGATTAAATCATTTAATTTTAGCCAAATACTGTTTTCAAATCTTGCACCTGTATGGAAATGATTATTCAGTTTTTTGTCATTTGAACAGTATATGTCCATCTTCTGTAGAGTTACAGGGATGATGTATACATAGACACTGAGTCATTCATGGTCCAATGGGAAGCAAAAGACATATAATGAAATTGCTATAAAGACAGGCAGAGTGGGAAATGCCCTAAGAGAATAAAAAAAAGTGTACTTTGGGACATATTGCAGTAGCATTCAGGAAGAACTGGAGTGGGATATTACAGGAAAGCAGAGCATCTGATGATGCAATTGTATTAATC